CTGCTTCTGACTGGAGGAAAGCAAAAGTAAATGCTTGCTTGTTGATTGCACGAGCCTAAACGCTCATGAACCGCGCGTTTAGCTCATTCTCCCTGTAGTCACCCGTCACCTGAGCGCGGCGCTGCGCGCGCGCAGCGCCCCGTTTGTATTTAAGCCCCCCCGCCCAAGGGCAGAAGGCAGTCATTTCATGCCTGACCGCCAAAGTGCGGTTGCCGGCATGCTTCCGCAACTGTTGTAACAATATTACATGCCTTTGCCCTAACAGTTGTTTGGGACGCGTCTGCCCCCGCCAGGCCAGCCCCGGCACTTGATACTGGTAATAACTTTATACGGTAAGCCAAAAGCCACCCTCGTCACCGTCCTAGGCAATTACAGACCCCAAATGCCTCAGGGAACGGCTGCACAAGGGCTCGGCACAATCACACTTTGGGGGTGTGACGCGCCAGCATGCGCGGTACCCAAAAACCAGCGACACATGCAGGCATCTCTGATGCGGACGACAGAGCCCGCCTTGAGCTGTAAAAACCGACATAGTCCTTGTGAAGGAATGAAGCAGGATCCGCAAACGAAACGGGATGCCGACGCTCTTCAATATACACCTGATAGAAGTTAAGTATGGCAGGGACGCATGCATGGCCAGAACAACACGAGGAGAATGCTCAAGACTGATGATAGGTACGCTGGGCTCATACAGGTCCTGCAGTCGAGCCCGGCTCAAGACATGCAGCTCCACTCCGTTGTTGTGGGTGTGGGAGGGACAGTTTACAGGGATATACCACAGCCACACTGCTGAAAAACCTGGGCGTTACACACAAAATTGTTGACAACCACACCGCAACCGGCACACATGCGCATGCAGCGGTAAACACGCGGCACCACATCATACAGCCGGCCCCCTCTTCCGTGCGAAAGGTCAGGAGTACTTTACGCGGGCATTACAGCAGCATGCATTCTCTCTCTCTCTCTCTCTCTCTCTCTCTCTCTCTCTCTCTCTCTCTCTCTCTCTCTCTCTCTCTCTCTCCCTCCCATTCTGGCCCGTAGATCTGTTCAGCGTTGCCCAGGCAGCTGCAGCCGGCGGGCGAAGCGCACCCCGTTGCGTTAGGAGTAACGCAGGGGGGACAGCCCCTCCCAACTGACACTTGACATTTCTGGAGCAAGACATTTAAGCAATTCTTATGCAACTCCGCCAGGAACGCGGCCGGGTCCATCACAACTAGTGATGGATGAAGGGGCGCAGCACGGCGGCCTGGGTTCCCGCAAGCCAGCCCCCCTTGCCTCCGAGGTACGTGGGAAACACCTACGATTAATTTTTACCTGAATTTCTCGCTTCGGCAATGCAAGTACGTGTTGGAGCGTGCTTGCCTCCAGCTGGCTGCAGGGCAGCTGTTCGTCAGCTGACTAAGTGCGCCCAGCACTGGTGTCTGGCCCCCAATGAACCACCAAGAGCCAGCCACAAAGTCCTAGTGGCAATTATTCAAAACGTGCCAGAGGAGAGTAAGGCAGCTGTGCTGCTCGTCACCTTGTTTGTCAGCGTGGGGCACCTGTTTTCCGCTAGGTGGCCGCGTTGCTGGGTGGTCGGGCACCGTGGAGGGTTGCTTCCAATCAGGGACTACTTGTGCAAGTCCATCATTTCATACACTTCAGGTCACGTTCTGACCGTCGATTGGCCGCCAACTCGGCCCATCGTCTGCGATCGTCTACCCCTCTCACAGCCCGCAGCTGATCACTTCGGGGGTGAGCACTCGCGCGCGTCCTGTCATAATCGTAGATGACACAAGCGTTGCGTTGAAACTTAATAAAATGGACCCACGCGGGCCCACGAATGCGGCCCCGGCAAGACCATTGCAATGCTTCCCTCCCAACCATTCCCCGCTAGGCCCTGACGAACATCATCTTGGTCATCCAGGACGGGCCACCATAATGTGAGCAGTGACCCATCTGCCGATGTTGGTGCATCGGATCTCTCTGTCGTGTCGCAATGGATGCTATGTCGGAGCTGGGATTCCAGCAGCCAGACACGGACAGCTGCAGACTAACACCACTAGCACCCAACCTGCTCACTTTGACGTAGGGTCAAAGCAAGTATGAGGTGCCATGTGGTGTGCACGACCCTACTGCTCATTGTTGGGGTGTGCTACACAGCAGGACACCCTCAGCACAGCATGTTGCAGCATTCAAGTGCTGATGGTGAGTAACAATATCTGCAGCACGCTGCGACGATGCATGAATGCGCCCACCACAGAGCTGAATCTGCACCGTTCGCTATCTCGATTGTTATGAAATTATTTGGGATAGCAGATCGGAGGAGTCGACATGTGACCAGTGCAGGAACGCTAACATTGGCATGGGTCAGCCGCAGCTCTCCCGCAGTGGCGCAGCTCTCCCATGGATCCAGCTCGCAAAAACCGCTCAATATGTGAACATCTCCATGCTCCATCCTTGCATGTGCAGGCACTTCGAGTGGACGCCAGCTCCTTGAGGACCCCTCGCCGTCGGCCTCGCCGTCGGCCTCGCCGTCGGCCTCGCCGTCGGCCTCGCCGTCGGCCTCGCCGTCGGCCTCGCCGTCGGCCTCGCCGTCGGCCTCGCCGTCGCCGTCGGCCGACCCTTCGGCCTCGCCGTCGCCGTCGGCCTCCCCCTCGGCCTCGCCCTCGGCCTCGCCGTCGCCGTCGGCCTCCCCCTCGGCCTCCCCCTCGGCCTCGCTGTCGCTGTCGCCCTCCCCCTCGGCCTCGCCGTCGCTGTCGCCCTCCCCCTCGGCCTCGCCGTCGCCGTCGCCCTCCCCCTCGGCCTCGCCGTCACCGTCGCCCTCCCCCTCGGCCTCGCCGTCGCCCTCGCCGACGCCGCCGGCCTCGCCGACGCCGTCGGCCTCGCCGACGCCGTCGGCCTCGCCGACGCCGTCGCTCTCGCCGACGCCGTCGCTCTCGCCGACGCCGTCGCTCTCGCCGACGCCGTCCACCTCGCCGACGCCGTCCACCTCGCCGACGCCGTCGACCCCGCCGACGCCGTCCACCTCGCCGACGCCGTCGACCTCGCCGACGCCGTCGACCCCGCCGACGCCGTCCACCTCGCCGACGCCGTCGCTCTCGCCGACGCCGTCCACCTCGCCGACGCCGTCCACCTCGCCGACGCCGTCCACCTCGCCGACGCCGTCGCCGTCGCCGTCGCCGTCCACTACGCCTCCCTCAACCCCAGTGCGTGTGTTGTCAATGGCTGATCACCGTGACTTGAGGAGCCAATGTAGATTGCGGTGCACTACTTATGGCACGAGGTTGGGCAAAATCTACAACAAATCTCATATGCTTTGCAACAAACCCACAGGTGGATGCAGGAACTATCACTCTGAATGGTCAGATCGTGCAGCTGGCCACCATATTTGCATCTCCTGCCGACCCCCTTACCAGGCTGCTGCTCCTTGCAGTTCCTTGGATGTGAGTGCAATTCAAATTGGCTGAGTCAGTAGTGATAATGGGTGCCGCTGGTGTAGTTGTGCTGCCTCCATAACAAACTTGATGTGATCTCTTGATTAAAGCCGGGCCACTATTTACAAGAGAAAGTATACATGTTCCTTGACGCCAATGCAGACGCCCACAAAATGTGGATGCAATGAATGTTAACCCCATCTGGATGCTCTTGCTTGCATCACTCTTGTGGTGACGCGTAACTTGCTGCTCGGTCCTGTGTGGTCTAAAATAATGGCCCCATGTCCTGCAACAACTCTCACAAAACTGGGTCATCCAAAATTACCCACACCCCCACTCCCCACCCAGAAACAACCCAACCCTAGCCAGACAAATTGCTGATACACTGGCAATCAGGATCGACACATCCACCGATGCTGTGTTCATCGTCTACAGGGTGAGACCATTTCCCTTTGCTTGCCTCTCATCATAAGGTCAATGCGTGAACACATGCTGCAGGGCTGGCTGGCTGGCTTGCGCAAACTTTTTTGGCTAATGCAATCAGGCTGTCAGGCAAGGTTGCCATGTTTGTGCGACTCACCCCCACTTGCGCATTGTTTCTTGCTGCGCATCCTCACAGCTGTATGATGGTTCGTCTGTGGGCCGGCACTTGCTCCAAGCCAACCTCCTAATTGATGCTTTCAAGATCAGCAAGAGTGTTGTGAGCCAGGTCGTCGGGCAGTCAGCTCTCATTCCCATCAAATTGGTCATTGATGGTGCCACTGCAGCAGGAATTCCGCCCAAGGTTGTCATCACCCAGGGTGGAGTGTCAAGCCCAGCCAAGGTACCAAAGACCAACGTCAACTTGGTCATATCCCCAAGTGCCGCCTCGATGTGAGCTGGGGCAGGGTGTATGGGGTTAAGAGAAATTCTGCTTTCTGTGGAGCGTTTGGATTGTGAACGGTGATGTTAAAGTGCACTTGCCCCTCATTTGCCCCAGATTGAAAGTGTTTTAATGTGTCACGCAGCCCACATGTGGACACGTGGGTTCACATCGTGAACCTGAACCCTGGAAACAAGCAACATGTCTACATAAGGCAACCAAAAGTCCCCCTTAACAAAATCTCCGCCCAAATTGCCTGTGGCCACATCAACAGGTGCATTTCCAACACTCCCGGCGCCTGCACCACCTTTGTTCCATTTGTGTCTCCTGCACCTTTCAACCTTGCCGCGGGTGACGGACCTAAGACGGTTTTCGTCTTCCTCCGAGATGCGGCAAACAACACGTCGCCAAACCCCGGAACTGCCTCCACTCAGCTGGACGCGAAATCTGGGCTGCTCAGCGCCACGGTGGCCACTACAAATACAAAGACGATTAGTGTGCAAGTCACCGCCAATGCTGCTCAAATGTGAGAACGTATTACTTGCTGTGCTGAGAGGATCGTGCACAGGTCTTGTTACTTGTTGCTAATGGCTGATCTTGTCAGGTCTCACAAGAATAATTCCTCCCTTGCTCATTTCTTGCGCCCTTGCAGATGCATCATTGACAAGCCTCCTCCAGTCAAATGCACCAAGTTCGTCACCCTTGGAGCGACCGCAACCGTGAAGTTCTCTCGCGAGGGGAATCGGACTATCACTGCCTACTTCCGGGATTCTAAGGCTGACAAAGTGCCTTGGGGCCCGGCTACAACAAATGTTCTGTACGACAAGACAGCCCCCACCTTGAAAAAGAAGGATATCCAGCTAAGTGGTGTGTACAGTGGCACCAACTTCACAGTGACTTTCACCGCTGCTGCCACCGACCCGAAAACCGAGCCGTCTGGCATCGACAAGTACCTGCTGGTTTTCAACCCTGCCGGGTCTACCAAGGCCAGATGTGCCTCCGGAACAAGTTTGCCCATTACCTTCACAGGTACTCGTGGCACGGCAACGGTGAACATTGCTTCAGCTGCACTGGTCAAGAAGCACAAGTTCAGGCTGTGTGCAGTTGACAAGGCTGGCAATATTGCTTCGGGCCTAACTCTGACAGGCAAAGCATGATTATACAAGTCGGAAATTGGTGGTGTGGTTGTAATGCGGTGATATTTTTTATGTATTGCAGCGTACTGTACATGCACGCCAGGAGGTGAGCATCAAAGCTGTTCGTGTCCGATAAGGGTGTAGAGTATATGTCTCTGAGGCATGCACTCGTCAAGATGATACCCGCTTCAAGATCTGTCATTGCACAGTTTATCTTACTTTGCAATCAAATCTTTTATCTTGAGTAAAAAAGGCACTAAGTAAGAGCTGCAAGACAACGTTGTGACCATGACATGTGCACATCACATATGTTGTGACCATAACAAAACGCTCACATCACATACTGTCAGAAAGTGACAAAGACACGGGTCTGTGACGTAGTTGCAAGGGAGTGGGACATCTCTGTGACCATCCATATACACCATACACCCTGAGCTGCAATCAGTGGGGGTTCCGCCCAAAGAGGGGGACCCTACAACCCCTTGAACTGGTGGTCATGGCCCTAGAGGACGCAAATTTGTTCAGGCAAAACCTGTACCTGCTGATGATGAGACTTCTCAGCAGCATTTGACACAGTTGACCAAGATTAACTGCTTGCCATCATGTATACTCCACGAAGCGCGCGTCACTGAGACGCCACCCGGCGCACCAAGGTGCTACTCAGATGCCACCCGCCTGGTGGGTGCCTTCCGAGGGCCATCAGGTGCCACTTGGACCCCACCCATTTGCCACCTGGGAATGTCCCAAGTGGTATGTGAGTGGACCCAGCTGCCACTCACTTTCCACCCAGCTGCACGTGCCCCAGGGGTCAGCTGCCCGTCTAGATTCCACACATATGCCACCCAGATGCCCCTTGCATGCCACCTGTACTGCACTCATACGCCACCCGCTTCTGTGTTTTGGCCTGGATGTCCACGCCCGCAATAATACAATTGTCTGCGCAAATAATAGTGCTATGAATTGATATGTGTGTTACATGCCAAAGCTGAGTCTGCATGTGCATGCAAGCAGTTGGTAGGAGAGGTGGGCTGCTGCATGCAGCAGGCAGCAGCTGTATGTGGGAGCCACGCGCATCTGCGCACGCATGCATGGCGGCTAGGGCCAAAGGCGGCAATGTATGACTCCACGCCAGCCAACACGCCCTGTGCACGTTTGCGCTGCTCCTTCCTTGCCGCCCATCAAGTGCATAAAAAAGAAACCGCGTCCCTTGGGTTCAATGACAAAGCACGGCAGTATGGACGGGGGCGCATGCATGTATGCTGCATGTGTGCGTGCAGCATGGGGCAAGGGAGCGAGAGGGCAGCTGCGGTGTGCAGACAGAAAAGCACGCGAGGCCATAAATCAAAGCACCAAGCGCGCACGCATGACAAGGCCGACCTGTACTGGGGTTGGTGTGGAGTTGGCTAGCTTAAGCAAGCTCCCTGTCCCCCACCACCCATATGAACAGTGCGCCCATTCAATCAGATTCTGCAATCCAGCTGACGCTGCCGCCGGACCCATCCGGCCCTGGGTCTGAGTCCCCCGGTTCCGGCGAGCCGCCCGTGCGCCCACGCTTGCCTTCGCCCCTGCCGCCGCCGCCGCCGCCGCCGCCGCCGCTGCCGCCGCCGCCGCCGCCGCCCTGCTGGCTGGCCTTCCTGTGCTTGGTAGCCTGTTCCTTGGCCGCCGCGGGCTTGGCCGCCGCGGGCCTGGCCGCCACGGGCCTGGCCGCCGCGGGCCTGGCCGCCACCGGCTTGGCCGCCGCCGGCTTGGCCGCCGCCGGCCTGGAGGCCGACTGCCGCTGCCGTTTTGTC